GGATCCGCTCAGCTGCCTCTGCCCTTTCGACCATACCCCCTACCCATCCCTTCACTCCTTTGAACCCTCCCCCTCCTCTCCTAACACCACCATAACCCGCAAGAAGCCGACTTCTTCCTTCGTACATTCCTACCCCTCTCCTTACCTTCCAGCTCCACCTCCTTGCCCCCCCCCACCCCCCATTCATAGATATAAACCTCTCCCTATCCTCTGGTAATGTTCCCACCCCTTTAAAAATGCCCATCATCACTCTATCCTCAAAAAACCCTCCCTGGACCCATCTCTGCTCACAAACTACTGCTTCATCTCCAACCCCTCTTTCCTTTCCAAGGTCCTGGAACAAGTCGTGGCTTCTTAGCTTTGCTCCTTCAAAGCGTACCTCTCACACAGTCTCAATTTCATCTCCACAAATGGCTTATCTGCTAGTCCCTGTATTGTCTCATGCACCATTCCTCAGGGCTCTGTCCTTGGTCTCCTCCTCAATATCTATATGCTCCCTCTTGGTGACATCATCCACAGACATGGGTCAACTTCACAGCAACAGCAATTTATAACAATAAATTAATAATAATAAATATAAAAAATAAAAATATAAATAATATTTATAACAAGAAATGGGTATAACATTATACCAAATGTGAACTTTAAAGTGACTCTCACCGCATTCTACCAAGACTCTCACACACTCATTCATAACATCCAGGCTTGACTATGCAAACTCCCTGCTTGTCGGCCACCCCAACGCCTTCCTCCACAAGCTGCAGATCATCCAGAACTCTGCAGCCTGTGTCCTCTCCCGCACCAGGCTCCGCGACCCTAATTTTCACTTGAGTACTCTTAGATCTATGAACCAATCCCTTGCTCCAGAATACCATAGTGCGTCTGCTTGCTATCTCCCTATGCCATGCTCCTGTCTGCATCATAGGAATCGAGAAATAATAATAATAATTGCATTTGATATAACGTCATTGAGATGTCTCAAAGCGCTTCACAGGATATACTGTAAAATGAATTGGCTATATATTTTGTGGGAGAAATGCGACAGCCAATTACACACAACAGTATCCCACACACAGTCATGAATTGAGTGACCACATTTTTTTGAGGGATTCTGCTTAGTGTTATCTGACTAATTGATTAACAACTGGGTTCCTACTTACTGCTAGGTAAGCAGAGGCGGCTGGATTAAGAAAACTTATCTAAGGTTTCACCTTGCCCGCTACTTAAACCCCGGTCCTCCTGCTTGTGAGGCGATTGCTCTAACCACTATCCTACAGGACTCCATAATTGATTAGCTCTTGAGCAAATCCAGGATCTGAGGCAACTGGCGTTAACAAACATTGTCTGCTGTTCCTCCTGTGGGTGTTCATTTAACTCCCTTCTGCTACTCAATGGTGTCTTGGCTCTAGGTTATTACTGAAGTGTATGATTTTAGAAAGGAAAACTTCACAGGAACAAAATAAATTATCCAAGAAACAATACTTATTAGCTTCTCAGCTGAGAATCATTGGAATATCTCTAAACAATCTTATAATGCTTACATTTCATATAGAGCCTTATAACGTTGTCAATGTCTCAAAGTGCTTCACAAGATTTTATTTTAAAGTGTAAAAACTGCTCATCTGTAGGCAAACGCGGCAACCAATTTGCACACAGCCATGTCCCTCACACTGGAATGAAGGGAATGACTAATTTTATCTGGAGGATTGTTGACCAGGTTGCTGGAAGAAACTCCCTTCTCTTTTCGATTTGTGTTGCAGGATCTTTAACATCTATCAAACAATAGGATTTATGGTTGAGCATTAGGCACAGAAGATAGAAAAGCACATATTCTGTGTTACTACAATATAGTGCTAACACGTGCTGCTCTATAAGTAAAGTTGGAGAATTTTACTACAGCATGATTCGTGGGTACAGGTTTCATTGTCAGTGTGGTTAGAAGCAGAGGATAACATTGATAAGACAGACACGCAGACACAGACAATGTTTGTGTGGTTTAGATGAGAGCACAGCTATGGTAACTTGCTCTTTACCATCAAAAATGCAAACAGCAAAAGCCAAGTTGTTGATCTCTTTGCTCCTGAACATGCAGTGCAATGTAAAGTGGGCTCCTTGCACCATGGATTCAACAAATACAGAACTGTCAAGAACAAGGAAATACTGTACCACAAGGGTCAAAGGGAGTATGACAGATTGAAGCCCCTTTATACATATGGATCTGCATCGCTTTTTCACAATGACCATCCTAAATAAATTGCAGGTTTACTCCAAAATAAGTATGACTTCTGTGGTTTAGCAAATAACTTGTACTATTCAACACAGTACTTGTCCAGCAAGGGCTTCCCTTCCCAATGGGGCTTTTGTCTTGGGGAGGCTGAAGGCACTACCGTTCCAAGCCTCATTGATGAATACGTAAGTTGGCCAGCTATCTAACATTCTTGTCCTGTGTGGCTTCACTGGAGCCCCAAAATTCTACCATGTCCTAGACTGTACCTTGTCTTAAAAATTTAAGATCGAACAGCATGATGGAAAATTATTTTAAATTCTTTTAAACCGCAACAAAAAAAGCTTCCAATTTAAGTCTGAATTTAAGAATTTTCCACAATTCAGCATGGTCTTAAAGCCTAAAGGTCCATTTTGGGTGTTTCTCCTCCGAATGAGCTCAACCTAGTTTACCTCTCCATTGCCCGCACCATGTTAGAAGGTTCAAGCCACACGTCGGTCACTCCACTGCTGGGGGTCCACTGCATTGTTTGAGGTGCCGTCCTTCAGATGAAACATAAGTCCAGTCTTCCAGGTTAGGTGGATGTTGAAGATAATAAATATCTTGCATTTGATATAGTGCTTTTCACGTCTTCTAGATGTCTCAAAGCGCTTCACAGAATATACTGTAAAGTGTATTGACTGTATATTTGTGGATGAAATGCAGCAGCCAATTGCACACAGCAGTGTCCCACAAACAGTCGTGGTTTGAAGTGACCAATTTTAATGTTGTTTTTTGAGGGATTATTATCAGGCGTATGGAGTAAGGAAACTTGTCCAATGTTTCACCTGCTGGGAAATGTATTTATTGATATATCATCTATGTATTTGGAAGGCAAAAGCCTGGCAGATAGACAGAGAATAGTAATACCTTCCTAAAATTCAGTACCCAAAATGTTGAAGGTCACATTTTGATGGGTTTCTGCATATCAGATACCAGCTGAACATATAAATAATAATAAAAAAACTTTTGTCGAAATCCAGGTTCAGATAAGTCAAGACAGAGATTGGCATCCAAGCAGTTATGGAGGGTGGGACTGAGACATATTAGAATACAATATTACTGTTCATTAATCACACAAATTAGACCCCATCTTTAACTTAGGTGAAATTTGTGCTCATCTGGGAAGGAGAAAAAAATACTTTTTCCACGACTGTTTGTCGGACACTGCTGTGCATGTTTCACCCACAAAATGTGCAGTCGATTCACTTTACAATATATTGTGTGAAGACTTTGAGACATCTCAATGACGTGATAAGATGCTATATCAAATGCAAGTATTATTATTTTTTATTATTGTTCTCAGGTTGAGTGGATGGGAGTAAAATGCAACTGTTTTTTGATGTCAAAACGGTTTTTTTAAAACACTGCCATATTTTTGTTTTATTTGGTGCTGTGGGAAAAGTGTGGGGTAGAAATTTCATTGGTAATTGCTGGGTTGCTCACTGGATGGACCTGATTCAGAGAATTACATTGGTAATGTCTGCTCCCTTCTGGAGACATTGTATTACTACATCCTTTTGTGGCTGCATTGGTATCAGGTCCATGTTTGAAAATTTCTCGCTTCCTAAAAATATTTTGTTCACGTGTGCATAAACTATCGATTAATAATAAGAATCCTTTCATTTGATACAGCGCCTTATCATGACTTTGAGACAACATATTCACACAATATGCTGTAAAGTGAATTGACTATATATATATTTTGTGGGTCAAATTTGGCAGTCAATTAATTGATTTAAGATTGCCTTTTAAAATGTTATTTGTTCTTGAAATAGCCTCTGATTTAAAACAGGTATTGGGACAAAATTCCACAGGTGGTTTGCAACACTCCAACTGTAGCCCAACCAGTGTCTTCTAAAGTTCAAATTCACCTCCTTGCTCTAGCAACCAATGCCCAATGTAGAACACCTAGAAATCTATTCATCTTGTTTAAATTGAAAGAAAAATGTTAAATTGTGTCACAACTGTATTTGCACTCCTTGGTTACATTCACAAAATGTATGATCTACAGCTGGAATATAATTTTATATCCAGAGAACTAAACCTGCAATCAAAATCATCAAAATGCACAGAACCTGTGAGCTTGGAACATGAAAGTTACAATGGTTTCTCCTCCCGGCCCTGCCCGGCCACCTGCGGGGTAACCCAGGGCTCCATCCTTGAGCCTCTTCTTTCCCTTATCTATATGCTCCCTCTTGGTGATGTCATCTGCAGACACAGGGTAAACTTCCACATGTATGCGGATGTCACACAAATATACGTTGCCTCCTCCAGTACCAACTCCAGGTCCGCCAATGTTCTATCAGCTTGTCTGGCAGACATCAAGGCCTGGATGAGTGCAAACTTCCTGCAGCTGAATATGGACAATACGGAAGCCATACTCCTTGGCTCCCGTCAACGTCTTCAATCCTGCGGATCTGAACTCTTCAACCTCCCTGGGCTCTCCCTCAGACTCACCGAAACAGTGCACCATCTGGGCGTCCGGTTCGACCCCCAGCTGTCCTTCCTTCCCGTCGCTTTACTCCCTCCCCTACTCTTTGGCCAGGCCTTAAGTCACCCTCCTACCCTCCCTGCGCTCCACCCCTCCTGATCCCACCTCCTGCTCGGGTACAAATCTCTGACTCTCCAGCACCTTGGGAAGTCCTCCTGATGTGAAAGGCGCAAAACAGATGTAATTGCTTGTTGTTGAAATAAATCAATCAAAAGGAAGAAAAACTACACTGGGCGCGTAAAATCAAATGTATATATTCTTAATTTAATGTAAGCCATCCACATACCAGTACAGCATTTAAGATTTTCTTCCCAATATGCACACCAACAATACTTCCTTCATAAAATATATTCAAGAAAACAAGATTTAAAAACATCAAGAAAATCCAAGTGGAATTGCATTGATACACAAACTTGGTCTGTCCTTCAATATAAGATGGTGGTGCAGAATACAGAATACACAAAATAGATTTTGTATAGAATGTGTTTAATCGTTTTTTTTCAGTTTATATTTCAATGTTGTAGTTATGTATTGGACATGGCATCATACAGCTAACTAAGTTATCTATTTGAAGCAAAAAACTCATACAAGCTTATCCTTCATGCATCTTTTTCCCCCCATGCCAATACTTTGTGCTCTATTAGCTAAGCAAAAAGCTTATTTAAATTTACAGTAAATTTAAATAATTAGCCCCTCGGGGCCCAATATATGCCCACTCAACGTTTGAGTTTTGTGTTAAATTTATCAGGAAAAAAATTACATGAAAGTATATCAAAGCTACCTCAATCAAATGAACATAAAAAGGTATGCAAACATCCACCAATAGTTATCATCTACTCATACATTCAGTTTTTCCAAGATGAAAATCACACTGATAACTTTTATTTTAAAAAAGCAAAACTCAAATATAACCCATGTAATGACAATGATAATAGGAGGAATCATTAAATGCATTTTTCATGGGTGATTACATATCCATTAAGTTAAAAAATGCACTGTGTATTGTTTCAATATAAAATAACTGCATGAAATGGTGAGTGCTGGTGTATTCACTTGATCAAATACCAAGTCCAAGACTATTCAAAAGCCCTATTATAACTAATATATATCCAGTAGTTTTCCTCCTCTGTCCGTCTCAAATATACATTGGCGTGTACACACCACTCTGAAACTTAATAAGCATTAGTCCAACAGGACAACAAAATGTTCAGCACTTCCCAAACCAGTGTTACAATATACACAATTCTCTAATGCTCCTCAGAAGAAGATCTGCTTTGCATCACCTGGCGCCTGCTCCATCGGACAATACGGGCATTTTAATCTAGGAATTGAGCACACGTCAGATTCTTATTAGAAAAAAAAACAAAGCAATCTGTCAGAAACACACAGTACAATTATAATAATAATAATCCTTGTATTTGATATAGCGTCTTATCACGTTGTTGAGACATCTCAAAGCGCTTCACAGGATATGTTGTGAAGTGAATTGACGATATTTTGTGGGTGAAACGTGGCAGCCAATTGTCCACAGCAGTGTCCCACAAACAGTGATGAATTATTATTTAATAATAATAATCCTTGCATTTTTTTATTTGTCATTAATAATAAAATAATTAAATTAATAAATTAATTAAATTAATAATTTATCATTAGTATTATTATTATTAATAATGAACACTTTACTGAATGTATTTTCATGGAATACGTTTTGGGTACATAAATTATGTTTTTACCCCAATGTTGACTATTAGGTAATGCGGCAAATTTCACAGCAACAGCACTTTATAACGATAATATTTATAACAAGAAATGAGTAACATTATACCAAATATGAACTTTAAATTGAGAAATTATGAAGGTTGTATTCTTTGATTTAGAATGTGCTAACTGTAGTTCAGTAGCTCCCTACAACTGAACAGGCCATCATCGAATGGAGGGGAAGGCACCCTTTCCAAAGAGGAACATGGCTTCTCTGCAACTGCTGCAGGTATAGACCTAGATTAGTTTGTAAAATGAAAGAGCAGCAATTGACACAATGAATGGCCTAATACATAAAAAGCAAGGTCGTGCCTGCATTAGGTCAAACTACAAAGGTAGGTGGAGAGAAAAGGGTTAGCATGTAAACTTTGAACATTCAAAGAATGAGAGGTTTCTTTCTTTGTTCAACCACCACATGCAAGTAAATTAACTTAGAGCTGTAGAGTATAAAGTTCTCATAATCAGTGTACTTCATCTGAATTTTGCAGTTGATCCCAGGGAGAACAGTGGGAATGAGTCATAAAATGTTCTCCCAAGAAATAAAAATAACAAAATGATATCCTGACCATCCTACCTTTCCTTCTCGGGACTCTTCAACAAGATTCAGGTAGAATACACGTTTAGAACTTTCCTCTCTCCTCTAAGATGAATAGAGAGGTAGACAAAAAAAAACACCTCTCATCCTTTGAACGTTCAACCTTATACACAGGAAAGCATTTCCTGTGTATAAGGTTGAACGTTCAAAGGATGAAAGCATTTCCTGTGGGTTTCTACAATGCCTATGTGAATACACCCTCCCAGTATTAGCATTTTGCCCAGTGAACCACCTGAATGATTATCTGTATTGAAAACATAAAACTTTTACTTCTGAATGAAGCGAGTACACTAGTGGAAGAAGTCCTAACTTTTTCCAATACAAAAGGAATAGAAATTTCTGTATTGTTATGGTGAATAATTCCTCATAGGAACCCTCTTAGACTGTCCTAAGAAAATAATTAGTATTAACGGAACCAAAGGAGGAATCATCGGACAGTTTCAGACGCTGTGGCAAAGGTATTTAAGGACATTTTTTGAAACAGCCTGAGTCATAGGAACATAGGAACAGGAGTAGACCATTCAGTCCATTAGCTTGTTCCGTGTTCTACAAGATCACGCCTGATCTGTACCTCAACTCCAATTACCCGCCCTTGCCCCGTATCCCGTGATACCATCACCTAACAAATATCTATCCACCGGGCTTGAAAATTTTAATGGATCCAGCATTTCAATGGATCCAGGTCTGACATACCTCGAGTGGAGTGCTATCATTCAAGTGACATTGGCAGACAATTTGCATTACTAATGTAAATTTGTATGAACAAAATCACAAGAAATCTCAGCCCTCCAGAATACCTACACTCTTCCCGTACTGCATCACGTTGCTTTTTTATTTGAAAAACAAGAGCCCAGTGTCTCAGTGTCAACCACATTCTCCAATCACACTTTCCAGAAAATGAATTATCCTCTGCATACAGTACAGAAATACGTACAAAATTCTGTCTTGGCATCGTCCTTCATAATTCTGAACCTGGGGCCACTTGTACTTCTGTCATAGATATCCTAACATTATCTGGGTTCATTTTCTCTAACTAATTTAATATTTGAAACATTTCTACAAGGTTCTCTTTTAAGACATTTATTTTCCACTGAAGAGTCCTAGCTTGTCTGGTCATTCAGAGGTAGAGGTTCACAATAAAACACCAGGCTTCACTAGCATGCATATAAATAATACTTTACAGAAGTCCTTATATGACTTGATAGATGTTTGGAATGTAATAATCAAATGCTCATAAAGAGGATCTGACCTAGTAACAAAATGTCATGGCCGGTTTGCAGAATTTTATGATGGGACTTACTTGCTTCCATTAATCATTTTGTTCAGAGCATCTCGTGAGATTATGTGCCCACAGACTAGCTTCATAGGTGGATTTGATTCTGTTGTCTGTTGCCGGAGGATTGGGCAGGCAAATATTGAGTGGTACCAACATTTTTTACCAAGGTCTACTTCAATCTAAAACAAAATCACACACAAAAAATAGGTCACATCACATCAAAAGTCAATGATGGTTAGTATGCAGGTGTAAACAGTTTGATAGTGGAGATGAACCGTGTTTTTTGAAAACAAACAGAACTTAATTTTTGTCTTAATGAACTAGGATAAACTGAATATATTTCTAGTGAATTTATACATGCATCAAGGAAATCGGGGAATGTTCCAAATTCAGATATCACATAACACTATTAAGCACTTCAAAGTACCCTATGTACAACGTACCCTAAGCGGTACATCATTACCTCAAACTCTTACTGCGTGGTCTGATTCTATCCAGCTCATCAGCCATGCTAATCATCTCTGAGAAGGATCATCAACGGTGTGCCAAAATGATGCAGAATAGAGGCAGTTTTGCACGATTGACCCCTCCTCCTCAAGAACTGGCCTGAGACAACCCAAACACATTGAGTGTAGGAATACAGTGAACAGAAGAAGGCCATTCAGCCCATTAAAATTGCTCTGCCTGATTTTTAGATTATATCTGACCTTTCAGTACCAAATCCTGCCTTTTCACCATACCCCTTGATATCCTTATTCTACTAGGACTGAGTTCACTGGCAGTGTTAGGATGTCAGGAATTAATGTGATCCAAGCCCTCTAACACATTGTGTGAGGAACAACCTTGTTGTCTCTTGCCAATTGGAGATAATCTTTTTGAATGGCATAGCTAGTAGGTCGGTCATGTATGACTATCACTGACATGAACAAGAATCACCATTGAGCTTGGTCCTGGCTGCCATTTCTGCAATTTGAATTTACATCAAATATTCAGCCGAGCTTCAATGTTTACAACAACAACATTTATAAAGCACCTTTCACATCGGAAGGACAGCCCAAGGTACTATATGGTCAAGAATTTAGACTTGATCCGTGGGTTGGGATCAGGAGGGGTGGAGGGCAGGGAGGGTGAGGGTAGGAGAGTAACTGGAGCACGGTGGAAGAGGAGGGTCTTGAGACGGGCCTTAAAGGAGGTAAAGGAGGGGGCGAGGTTAAGGGATTACGGGATGGAGTTCCAGAGGGTGGGGGCAGAAAGGCTGAAGGCTCGACCGCTATTCGTGGGGCGGGGCAGGTGTGGGCTATAAGTTTGCATATAATTTGAATACAGTATGTACTTACTGGCAACTCATCTTTCTGATTCCATACTCCAGTGCACTGTCGCTGCTCAATGACTGCCTTGATGTTAATGAGAGCTGGCAGTGCAATACATCCTGCTGAAAAACTAAATGAAATGATGAATAGATATAGCAATTTAACAAAACACTAGGATTTGCTCAGAAGTTTCCATGTTATAAACAACAATTTTCATCCAAACCGAATCAGATAGGAGGATATAATGGGAGTCTTGAAAAATAACATGAAATATAATCTGGCAAAAGATCCTATCGTGAAACCCTTCACTTGAATTGTAATCAGCTTCAATAAAGTTAACATGGAGTCCTGTAGCTCAGTGGTTAGAGCACTCGCTTTGCAAGTGAGAGACCCAAGTTCAATTCCAGGCAGCGCGAAACCTTGGGCAAGTTTCCTTACTCCACACAGAGCCTAATAATAATCCCTCCAAAACCAAAAATAATGATAAATTGGTCATTTTCAATCTATGACTGTTTGTGGGACATTGCTGTGCGCAATTGGCTGCCGCGTTCGCCCACAAATATACAGTCAATTCACTTTACAGTGTGTTCTGTGAAGCACTTTGGGACGTCCTCCCGACGTGAAAAGTGCTATATCAAATGCAAGGATTATTATTATTATTATTATAACTAGTCCATGCCAGTCTCCACCTACTGCTTACTCCCCTCCCATATCCCTCTATTTCCTTCACCCCCACATATATCTAGCTTCCTTTTAATTGCAACAACAACTTGGATTTATATAGCGCCCTCCACGCCGGATGGGGTCTCAGAGCACTTCACAGTAACAGATCCCAGGGGCGAGCCAGGGGGAGGGGGAGGAAGGTGACCAAAGGCGCGGTCAAAAAGAAAGGTCTTCAGCAGATACCTGAAAATAGGAAGAGAGGGAGCGAGGTGAAGGGAGTGAGGAAGGGAGTTCCAGAGCCTCGGGGCATAGTAGCTGAAGGCACAGCCGCCGAGGGTGGAGTGGAGGACTCGGGGGGGGGGGGGGGGAGGAGGAGGCCAGACCCAGAGGAATGAAGCAACATGCTGAATATAAACAGATATTCATACCTGACACTAAGAGGCGATTCCACTGAGAGTCCAAGAAGTGAGCAGGCATCCCTGGTGAAGATATCACAAATATCAGCCCACTGGTTAGAGTCCAGCAGGTGCACATATGGTGAGTTTGCTATTCCCTGCCTTAGGTAAACTAGGCTTCCCATCAGCACCTGGATGTCTGTTGAATCAAACAAACACAAAACATTTTTTCACTGAAACTTGAAACATTTTCCAAACCAAACCAATTTCCATGTGAACTTACAATGTATCCCTTTGCTTTATAAAAGCATACTTTTTATTGTGTCTTGCTTTCCTCTCAGCCGTAAAGCATTCTAATAATAATCTAACGGGATATTTAAACACATTTGTATGTTCAGCACTTTTCTTCAACAGTAACAGATGCAAATGTGCAGTAACAGCATCAGCATCCAAGGCTGCACTCTCCACCTCTCAAAGTCAGTCAGGAACCTCAGGGTTCTGTTCGACCCTGAGCTGTCCTTTCTTCCTCATATCCTCGCCACAACTGGCACCGCCTTCCATCACCTCCGAAACATCGCCAGACTACGGCAGACTCACCCCTCACACTGCTGAAACTCTGGTCCACGCCTTTGTCACCTCAAGGCTGGACTATGGGAACTCTCTCCTCGCCGGCCTTCCCGCCACCTCCCTCCACACTGCAGGTCATTCAGAACTCTGCAGCTCATGTACTGTCCCGCACCAGACACCGCGACCACATCACTCCCACCCTCGCTCGCCTCCACTGGGTCCCCATCCCCAGAGGATCGAATTCAAGATCCTCATCCTCACCTACAAGGCCATTCACGGCCTTGCTTCCTCCTACCTCTCTGACCTACTATCCCCTCTACCTACCTGCCCGTACCCTCCGTTCCTCTGGCTCCGGTCTGCTCCACATCCCCCGCCCCAAACGCCCTACCATCGGTGGCCGGGCCTTCAGCCTCTCAGCCCCTTGGCTCTGGAACTCCATCCCCCAGTGCCTTCGCCGCCTCCTCCCTTTCCTCCTTCAAGGCCGGTCTCAAGACCTTTCTCTTCGACCGTGCCTTCACCTCCCCTCTCGACTCTCTTCCCCCTCCTCGCTCCTTCCCTCCCCTCACCCTGACCATTTCCCCCTCCTCGCTCCCTCCCTTCCAATTTCCCCCCATGCTCAGGTCCTGACCCAACTGTACAGCACCTTGGGACGTCCTCCCGACGTGAAAAGCGCTCTATAAATGGAATCTTGTTGTTGTTGTTGTAACAGGGTTTCTAAATCCTTTACCTAAGCAACAATAATACTTGCATTTGATATAGCGCCTTACCACGTCACTTCACAGAATATAGACAATATTGTAAAGTGGATTTGACTGCATTTTGTGGGCGAAACACAGAATTGTGGAGTCCTGTAGCTCAGTGGTTAGAGCACTCGCTTTGCAAGTGAGAGACCTGAGTTTAATTCCAGGCAGAGGGCGAAACCTTGGGCAAGTTTCCTTACTCCACACAGAGCCTAATAATAATCCCTCAAAAAAAAACAATAATAAATTGGTCATTTTCAATCCATGACTGTTTGTGGGACATTGCTGTGTGCAATTGGCTGCCGCGTTCGCCCACAAATATACAGTCAATTCACTTTACAGTATATTCTGTGAAGCGCTTTGGGACGTCTGGAAGATGTGAAAAGCGCTATATTAAATGCAAGGATTATTATTATTATTATTAGAAGCCAATTGTGCACATCCTACAACAGCCTTGGATTGACTAACCAATTTTTTTGTGGTAGGGGGTGGTTAAAAAAAAGTAATGCAAAAGACTGCTTTTTCACTACGCTTTCGGTCTTCTTCCCCTTCCCCATCCCCTCAGCTTCTATCTACCCAGCCAGCAGTGTCAAGTGCTTTGAGATGTCCTCCCAATGTGAAAAGGGCTACATAAATTATACTGTCTAAAATATAAATATTTACGACCCTGTGCAATCCCATTAGAACACTCCTCGCCACAGTTTAAGTAGTCTATAATGTGAATGACATGTAGACTCCATTCATTGCATATGCATGTAGCTGGCTGCTGCATTCCAGTCAATTCCAGGACTAAAACTAGACAACTTCTAGGATCTTGCGAGCTGTAAACCTCATTATAAGGCAGGTAGGGAATTTATGGATCCAAACTTCCACATTACAAGACTCCACCGCTTCGCCCACAAAATACATTCAATTCACTTTACAGTATATTCTGTGAAGAGCTTTGAGACACCTCAATGATGTGATAAGGCGCTGTATCAAATGCAAGGATTATCAGATTATTATTTGAACCAAGGTCTCGCTTACCTTTCTGGTGATGTAAAGCAAACGGTTGGAAGTTCTTGGCATACTGTAGTGCTTCCCTCTGGTTTTCTCTACCCCCCATTAACAGGCTAATAAAATACAATCTGTGAAGCTTGAACTCAAGAGAGCTGTTCTGAGCCATCAACATTTCACGGTTTGAAACTGCCCACCTATAAGCAAATGAGTTATCACAGTTAGGTACAGCCTGTTAGTACAGAACTGTTAATTCACATTTGAAATGAAAACAGTGAAGGTTTACTGAATAAATAATGAACTGCTCTATTACAAAATCTAGACCTGTTAGTGTAGAATATTGTAGCTACAACTACATTTTGGTCAGTGTAATCAACCTTTGATGATCAGTTAACTATGCTTTGAAGGTTACAATATCTGAAGCATTGAAACGTATTTTCAATCATTTCATAGAACTTTCAAACTGAGTAAAATGGTAATTTAGCATTCAAAAATAACGCTATTTTTAGGACAGAAGTGAGACTTTTGCGAGTTTCAGCAAATTTGAAACTATAGTATAACAATAATGATAATTAAACCGAACATTCTCAGAACACCACCTCAGGAATGAAGAGGCGCCAATTCTGAAGATTTCTTTTTGTGTCAAAAGTACAAGTCTCATACATATTTATCAAAAGACATCAGTCCTTTAAAATGATTATCTAATGAAGAAGTTTACTGTCAAGCCAGCACTGGAGTGCATCATCATGACGCATAATTACTTTTTGGCACTACAATAACATTNAAAAAAACTAAAAATAACTAAACTACTTTTTAAAAATGCAATTGTATCTCAAAAAATTAAACTTGAGCTGAACAAACCATTAAAAATGACAATTTTTGTCAGTTACTGTATATGAAGACCAACAGCAGTTTAAGGCATAATCTTTGTTATAATCACACTGTAACCACACTTGGGATCTGGTTGTATGGCAGCTTGTTCAGAGAGCAGATGGTACATTCAAGCTGTAAAGTCTGTACTGTTGAGGCGGATACCAATAACTAAGGTCATCAAAATGTGACTGAACTCATTTTAGATTTGAGGAAAATATGGGGGATATAAAGATGAGAAATGTCTCTCTTTTTTAGAAGTACTATAAATTTAAGTCTAACGGTAAAACTAATGATACTGAACACTAACGATTTATGAACAAGGCCTGTTACAACAACAAATTACATTGTATAGCGCCTTTCACATCGGGAGGACGTCCGAAAATGCTAGACAGTCAGGAATTTGGACCTAAGCAGGGGGTTGGGATCAGGAGTGTTAGAGGGCAGGTAGGATAGGTGGTTCAAAGGCATGGTCGAAGAGGAGGGTCTTGAGACATCCTCCCGACGTGAAAGGCTATAAAAAATGTAATTTTTGTTGTTGTTGAAGGAGGCAAGGGAGGGAGCAAGGCGAAGGGACTGTGGGATGGAGTTCCAAAAGGTTGGGGCGTAGAGTCTGAAGGCCTGACTGCGATGGTGGGATGGGCCAGGCGGGGGATGAGAAGCAAGCCACAGCCTGCTGAGTGGAGGGAGTGGACAGATTGATATGGGCTTAGCAAATCACAGAAGGTTGGAAGGAGCAAGTCCACGGGGGGCTTTGAAGGCAAGTACGAGAATTTTGAACTTTATCCTCTGGACGATGAGAAGCCAGTGGAGCTGGGTGAGGGTGAGGGGTGATAGGGTCACGGAGCATGGTGCAGGAGAGGACACGAGCTGCAGGGTTCTGGATGATCTACAGCTGGTGGAGGGAAAAGTTGGAAAGACCGACAAGTAGGTGGTTGGTGTAGTCGAGCCTAGATGTAATAAATGCATGGATGAGGGTTTTGGTGGCCTGATAGGCAGTGGCGGAGCTGGGCGATGTGGAAGAGGTGGGGGAAGGCAGAGTAGGTCAAGGCACAGATGTGGGGTAGAAAGGACAGTTGAGGGCCAAACAAGATGCAAAGTTTCCGGACTGGTTCAGTGAGGTGGAGTGTGCATCCCTGGATGGTGATGCTGCCAGTGCCTAAGGTGTGGAGGCGCTGATGGGAGCCTCGGTCTTGTTGATGTCATCTCTCAGCCACGATTTGATGTCTGACAGACATTCTGTCAGGACAGCAATAGTCCTGGAGTTGAGGGTGGACGCAGAGAGATAGAGTCGGGTGTCGTCTGCATACATGTTGAAGTTGACCCCATGTCTGCGGATGATGTCACCAAGAGGGGGCATGTACATGTTGAAGAGGAGAGGATCAAGGGCAGAGCCCTGACGAATAAATTTATGTGCAATAGTTATACAATAAAAAAGTCTTCTCACGATGCATCATTCTGTTGATACAACATGTAATGATAATTTTAGTTTTAAAATAAATTTAATTTTTGTAGAATGTATACCATTCAGTGCTTTGAAATGCTACACTGCGTGAGTGGGGTATGTAAAAGTTGATGTTGCTTGCCGATTTCTGAAACAACTGGCTGTCTATGTTAACATTTTTTTTAAAAGCAAAGATTGAGTCCTTTGTACACCTCATGGTACAAAGACTAAATGGAGACCAATATGTGCAATACTACACTGAGCTATGTTGTAGATCATTAGTGTGCATTGTACACACTCAGTCATGTTATACTATATACGCAGAATTTTTAAAAAAGGTGATGTACAAAATATTTGTTTCTATGTCTCATTTTTGTACAGTACAACTGCAGTTTATGCACATATCTGTTTATCTACATGGGATTCAGAAGTACAAGTGGATATGGGCTGGACATGGAAAAAGCGTGAAGGAGAGAGCACGCAAAAATTGAGGAGAGAGCCAAAAAGCCTGGCAGAGAGCACAAAAGAGACAAAGCATGTGGCCGAGAGAACACACAAGAGAGAGCATGAAGAACACAGTATTTGGCTACAGTGATATCATAGAGGGACATGGAAGAGGGGTTTAGGAGGGCTGGAGGTTCATCATAAACACAGATACGGACTAGTTGGGCTAAATGGTCTGTTTCCGTAGTGTCACATTCTACTAATGTTTTAGTTAGCACAGTAGCCAAATTGGTATTTTGCGTGATTTCCAAATACCCGCATTTTTGCTTATCTGTCATCTGTCCCAATCTATTTAGATAATTAGCTCTCTGCTATATTGAAATAAAATCAAGATACTTCACTGAAAATATCATATTATTGCAAAAAAAAACAGACTCAGATTTTAAGAAATCATGTCCACTCATGTAGCTTAGGTTACAAAGGAAACAGAACCATAATGCACATTTAATAAATAATTTACCACTATGTTTAACTGATAAATATTTGTGCATCATTTCTTCTGCTGGATTAGAATATAAATGGACGTGTTACACATCTGATTTTGGAATAATTTTATTCATAGTCTGCTAAACGCTTGAAAATGTTTAAAGGTAAAGAAAGTCATTCTTATTGAACATTACTACTTTATAGATAGAATACAAATATACAGATTTTGTCAATATGAACTGCAATGTTCACTTAATTTTTACATACCAAAATCTAACATAAAAGCAATATGCCAAACGCAACGATGCGTAGGTACATTAGCAACAATTACTGTAAAAAAAAGTCACTTACTCTAGTGCAGGTCTTAGATCTCTTATTCTGAGTGCCTCCAAGATTCTATTCAGTTCTACAAATGGCTCCTTTTGGTTTCCTTCTATGCACAGACCAGCTTCCTAACAGACACATGAGCACATTACACAGCAGATGGATTTCAATACAAATTATTCTCAAGGCGACAAATGGACTACATATCTCTCAGAAGTTTTGCATTACACTGGCTCTAAATGCATTGCATTTGGAGAAATTCGCTTTGAAATAAAGTGGTCTGGTCTGATTAAGATCAGAGTAGTTAACTCAATCTCGGTAAGCACTCTTTAATGTCCAAAAGTCAAAAGGTTATTTTTAGCAGGAAAAAGTGGAGGAACACCATATCTGACACCTGTCTTCAAAGGGTTGACGTGATGTACTACAACAGCATCTACGATTACAAATATTCTACACTAATACAACCCTCCTCATCTCACAGCATGTAGCCTCATTAAAACAGCTCTTGATGAAGGACAAATAACTTTAATAAAGCACTTGTACCTTCTGCTTGAGAATGTCAGTTTAGCAAAGGGTGGACTGGGGGGAGGCAAGCAAAAGGGGACATGTGTAACTAACCAGCTTTTAACACATTCTGCAGGAATTTAACTGTTTAAGCCACTGTTGCTTAAACTCAGTCTGTAAAAGAAGCTAGTTTTTTTCTAAAATTCCATATCCCTCGATATAAAACAGCAAGTATTACAAACAGAGTCCCAATGTTTAGCCTTTTTAAAAAAAACAAGACCCTAATCCACTGCAATCGTTGCTCATCTCATTCGCAGCACATTCTACAATGAGCTTAAATAAATATTTCCCTGGTCTAGAGACAAAGTTGGGTAGGCAACATCCAACCAAAGTATTTGCCAAAGTCCTGCATTTGGATAGATATTGGTGACTCTATCTCATCTTCCCTCTCCCACCTCCCTGTGTCTTGGTCTTAAGATTTAGCATTTTATCTTCAATTCATTCAGAATTTGAAAGACGTCTTTCATAGTTCCTGATAAGATCTGTAGAAAACTGGCTTCAAAATTAAAACCAAATTTTCCAAAATTCTGCACAATCTTAAATTGTAACAATAATTTAAAGTCTAAAGGCTCCAAAGGCTCTCTTCTAGTGGCACAGCCAAGAACATGAACTCACCACATGAAAAACTATCATGGCAAACTAATACAATAGTATCCGCTAACAAAAAACATCCTTACATTCAGTTCCCACTTGAAAACTTACAAAACAATAATAAATAATCATCCTTGCATTTGATATAGCGCTTTTCAAGGCTTCCAGATGTCTCAAAGCGCTTCACAGAATATACTGCAAAGTGAATTGACTGTATATTTTGTGGGCGAAACGCGGCAGCCAATTGCACACAGCAGTGTCCCACAAACAGTCGTGGATTGAGTGACCAAATTATTATTGGGGGGTTTTCTTGTGGGATTATTATCAGGGTGTGGAGTAAGGAAGCTTGCCCAAGGTTTCGCCCTGCCTGGAATCAAACCCAGGTCTCTCGCTTGCGAGACGAGGTGCTCTAACCACTGAGCTACAGGACTCCTAAAATGTGTAAAGCATTAACATAGAAATTTATAACATGGAAGAAACCTATCGGGTCCATATTCATACAGGGACTTTAAAAACATCTATTTTATACATTAAAACCATAATTAATAACAATTTGCATTTATATACCCTCATGCAGGATAGCATCCCAGAGCGCTTGTTGTCGATATATACTGTGTTATGCTTTATTTAGCCCTGAAGTAATAAATATGCTGTTCCTTTGTTATAAATATAGTTATGAACTAACATCAGTAGAACTCGGGTAATTGTATGGCATCTGTCCGGTCCAGCCTCCATGCAATTATATGGAGTGCAAAGTATAAATACAGTGTGTGTATATATATATATTCATCCATTCTCCAGTGAGTTATTTGTTGGACTAGTCAATTGAGGAAAGATGTTTAAGTTGGGAAGGGACTTCAGTAGTAGTAGCATCCCTTACAGTACCTGGCACAGCTCCTCTGCCACATCCAGCATTCCTTGTCGGAAGAAGTGTTCCACCATCACCTCACTAAGGAGTCGCTGGCTATCAGTTTGCCAACATCCATCTATCGCAACTCCATTAATGTCAGCATCAAAACTCTGGAAAAATACAAGAGGGGAAATATAACCATTAAAGTAAAAACAAAATTCCCCATTTCTCCAGGTGGCAAAATGGTTGAAATGGAGTGTAATTAAAATCAAAGAAAGTAAAATATAAGGCGATGATTATTTAAGATCCTGAGCACCCCACCACCACCCCCATTCATACGTGTAAAGTGCTTTGAGACATCCTCCTGACGTAAAAATAATTACATAAATGCAAATTATATTCAATTCTCTCAATCCTATAACACATTTTAATTAAAATCACTGAATAAATTGTTAGAAAGCAACAATTTTTATACAAAGGAGTACATAGGTTTACACGCAACAGGTTAATAAATCCAGCTGTGTTATTTATCTACAAGAAACAGAGGAGTCAAACACTTTCCAAGAGAGGAAAAAGGCAAAAATATAGTTTAGGAGTCGACCCTGCCTACCTCAGTGCAAAAGGGAACCAAAGTATGGCTTTGGAAGAGGTTTAAGAAAGGATGCCTCTAACTGGTGACATGTTTAAGAGGTGTGCAATTTGACTTCTAACCTGTTGTATTTAAAATGAGGATTACAACGTTTTTTTTTAAACCAAACTTCCAATCTGTTGTAGTTTGGAACCAATTTGTCTAATCCATAACTCCAGTGCATTCCAGGTACAGTGACTTTACAATGAACCAACTCCATGCAATGCAGAGCTTTACACAGCAATATTTTCCACTCAATATTGGCCAACCAATCACAATTTTCAAAGTTGTAAACGTATGATGAAGTTTCAGATATCCACACGTTTCTAAGACTTGTCAATTTTAAATCTCACTAAATGTTCCATTCTCTTCTGTATAAACCCAAGTCTCTCCTTCCTATTCAATTATTATTTCTTATGAAATAGTTATTAAATTAAATCTTTCTACGGGATATTTCAGGAATCCATTTCTCTTTGACTGCTGTGCCTGAATGTTAGGATACTCTCCATACATTTTCCAGATGATATGAACTGGCAAAAGGGAAAATATAAATCGAAACAAACACAAACCACTTTATTCAGCCTTGCTTCTGCAGCAAGAGTAATTGGCAAACTCAGACTTTCAAGATATTTAATAAATTGCTATACAGAGGTAGTATTATCAAAATGGACATTATAATAATCATCATCTCAATACTTTTGATATAGCTGCTCTTTAGTATTTTGTATATTTATCAAGCTGGTCAATTCTTAAATTTAATGAATTGTAATTAATTTATCCCCCAATGTCCTGGCCAACAATACCCCTCAATAAAGTTGGTCATTTACTTCATAGCTGTTTGTGCACATTGCTGCCCGTAAATTAACTACCACCTTCACCTACAAATACAGATACTATATTTCACAGGAAATCTTGTGAATTGCTTTGAGATAGCTTTGCATCATATCAAATGCAAGTAATATTAATTATTATCATTATGCTCTTTATGGTTAAATAAACTGGTTGCGTCAGTAGACAAAATAAAAATACAATGACCGAGAATCTGCCTTCAAACAAGTTGGGAGTTAGCCTCTGACTTGCTTAACACATTGCAACATGATAAAAAGGGTGAGAGAAATAAAATAGGCATACATACCAACTTCACGCATACCAAATTCACCCTTATCCTTCCTTGAACAAAAGTCAGCTTGGTTTTAAGGTGTAATTCCTGGCTTGGTAGCAGAGGATTCTCAAGTGTTACAAGCTTATAAAACTTGTAATGAAATTATATAAGCTGGCAGAGTCAGACTGTGGCAGTGCAATGTTTGACTCAAACTATATTGGAATCACTGAGCAAGGTACAGTAGTAAAATAAAGTAGAATGAACAATGATGTACCAAAGAAAAAGATTTTGGGTGGGAGAGATTAACCAATTTACCTGATTAGTAGCAAAATTCTGTCCCATTCGCGGATAAAAGGAGCAGTATTTGGCATCTACTGTAAGTATAAAGAAAGGGGAAACGTGCCGAAAGACCTGGAATTAGACAAAGGAGAAGACAGCAACAGAACAGCATATTTAGAGATTGTACAAAAAGGGAAATGCTATATATGAACATTAATAATAGTTTGTTTTTTAAAACATGTTTGAGTCAATATTCTGTGGAAAGTTACATTGCAGTCAGTCCACTGTTCAGAATGCACTCGAGGTGCCAGAGGATGGAGAGAAACAGATACAACAATTGAATCAGATAGCCTTCGTAACAGGTGCATTAGAATTAAAATGTTCAGTATACTGTTTGAGATTCATTATTTTCCTTTTGCCTGTGTAAAGTATAGGAAAGCAAGAAGCAGCAACAGCATTGGTGCATCAACAAGCTTCCTAGTAAGTGTCCATATTAGACCCAAACGGTGCAATTGTTATACCATACAGAGCAAGAATTGTAACTACACAAGAAAATTCTTAGTAAACTGTACCTTCCTCTGCAACTCAAGTTTACAAAACTGAGGCTACAGATCAAGTACTCTTATCCCATTTAAAACATAATGTCAGTCCTATATGAACTCTGCAGTTAATTTTATCTATGTTTTTCTCATTAATTAGTGAAGCGTTTTTCACTAAAAATTGGTATAATTTACATTATTAATGAAGGAGGTTTACAACCCATATTAAGTACCATTTATTTAGCTTCGAGAATGTTAACGCATTTAATGGACAATCACCCCACTTACATACAAGGATTGTAAATCTTATTTAAAGGCCAATTCAATCTCAATAAACTGGCTTTGACATTAAAATGCCTAGCATTTTGAAATGTTCTAATATGGCATCTTGTGACCAAAAAATACTACCCAACAAAAACATACATTTACAAATACAGAAAACATTGAGGCGTCTCCTAATCTGTAGCTTGTCCTGAAGAACTCATCTTTATTTTGTTCTGGGGGGAATACAATAGGCTTCCGGATGTCAAAATAGAGCAGAAATAATTTGGGTGGCAGTGTTGATCTGAGCTCTAGCTGTGGGGAATGGCTGTGGGAATAAAGATGACCTGCTAACTCCATATCAACCTGTCCACTCCCTCCGCTCAGCAGGCTCTGCTGCAACGTTATTCATCTTCCTATCCCTACTCTCCCTGCCCTCCACCCCACCTGATCCCAAACACCAGGTCGGGACAAAATCCCTAACTGTCCAGCACCTTGGGACGTCCTCCTGAAGTGAAAAACAGGATACAATTATAATTTGTTGTTGTTGTTGTAGCAGTCCCACAGTCAGGGCCAGGTTAATTAGATGAATGAATCTAGCTAATTTGTCCATGTTCTGTTTTAGCAAAGAAGATGGCAAATCCTGTTAAGGTTCTGCAAGGATTTTAACCACACAGCTGCTAGCACCAATAATCAACAGTGCATACCTGGCATTACTGACTGGGGGAAAAAACAAGTTAACTATCTGTAGCAAAATAGTATTTTTAGGTTTCAAGCAGACATTTCTTTAAAAAGAGGAAGCAGTAGAGCATTTTTTTATATACATTTTTCTACATGGTGAGTGCTATTGACATCAGTGAAACTGTTTGTGCAAAGAGTTAACAAATGTCTGTAACAGGTTAACAAGAAGGATGATAAAGGGCAGGACACATGGGCCTCGTTTAAGAAACAGCTTGATGCTGAAGCTGAGAGGTTAAGTGTTCAGGAAGGATGAGATCAAATGACCTGAAGGGCCTACTTCATTCGAATCCCTCTTGCAATCTTGTGAACAATATTGAAGTGCAAGAAAGATAAAATCAGAAAGTTGAAGCTTTCTGGTTTAGTGACAGAATCCTTATGGTTGTTATTGCAGCTATTTGTGAAATTTCAGGGGAATTTAAAATCATAACAAAACAAATGTTAGAATCATTCTTTACAAATTTGGTTTTAAAAGCTTGGTCGATACTTTAAAGAATCATTCTATCTTCATTAATCTGTTCAGCACATAACACAAGGTAGGTAGATATTTAGTGAATTTTGAAACATTTGAAAGTGTAAGACTAAGTAAAAAGAAATCACTGCAATCTAGAGCTACTTTTTGAATCAGTTAGCTTTAAAAACTCACCTAATGAAAATATTTGACGGCCCTGCCTTATTGTTTATATCTTATACACGTCTTATCAACTTTTGATGTCTATATCTTACAAATCTTAATACATTAAAGAAACCACTGTACTCTAACGTTACCTAAACCTCTCTTTTAATCAGAATAAAGTTGCCCGTAGCAATTGAAGAAACTGGCATGGACTTACCCGGTCAATGGCTTTTCCTACTCGTGACACACTGCAGTGAATGTCCTTGTGGTCAGAAGCCAGTTTCTGAACAGTGTCTTTTATTCTTTTGCAACACTGAGATAGAACAAGCGACAACGTCCCTGAGAGCTCGACATCTTGTCCTGCTTTTATAAATAAAAGTTTTTTTTAATTTTAGAATCATAATGTACCACAAAATCTTAGTAAATTACATAGATCTTACATTGTATCCACTGGATTCTGACAGAGAAGATATGTTTGGCAATCTCTTTAAGGCACGTTTCGCAATGTACTAACGAGATTCCTCTCAAATCTTAACCTGTGGTTAGTGATTCATTTTTTTGACATTCTATTCTTATTCATCAATTCCTTCAGACTGTACACAACCTTTGCTTCTCTCAACCTGGATTTCCTCAATGCTCTTGGATGAGCACTGTAATGAACATTGCATTCTTAATTGCTTCTAGAAACCACGAGTCCAACCAAAAATAATGGCTCTGAATTTTGATGGCCCCAGTAAAACTAATCAAACATTTCTCCTTCAGGGTTCAGAGTTCCTAGGTATGCAGCAAAACGGTTTTCATTGGCCCGTTTGTGAATTCCAGGAGTAAACAGTGAGGTGATTTGAGGTAAAAAAGAGAAGCAGCTGTAAGGAGGGAGGGCTCCGGTCTATTTGTTACACATGTGGACCTGAATAAACAGTTGGTGTTCAGTAAACCTACTTTGCGACATTCAAATGGACCTCTAGAATACCAAATTTGTTGGCCTATGTATAGATTCAACCACACTGAAGGCAGATGACCAGCAAATAGCTGATGAAGAAACTCAAAGACTTGGGACAACAGCTGGAAGGTGTTACCTGGAGTCTGTTCAGTGCTTGCGAATAGATGCTCATGTCTCTGTAATCACCTTGATTTCTATACAGAGAAATACCAGCTCAAACCCCGCACCTCCAATTGGTTGAAGCGTCCCTCGATAATTAAGGAAGCAAGACTGAGCTGTGTGAAAGAAAATAGTGGCAATGCTCTCAAGCATTTCATGCTGAGTTGTGCTACCCACCAGGAAGCTCACAGGTTTTCTGGTAACTACTATCCTTCTAGTTTGGGAAACCTGTTTGTTGAATATCAAATGACCAACTTGTGACTATCCTGGAGGGTAGGGTTGAGGGGGAGGAAGCAGGGGACGTCAGTAGTCTTTCTGGGGCTGCACTGGCTTGAAGTTGACTTGCTTGGCAATGGAATGGGGAATTAAGGTAAACCTCTGAGGCGGTCTGGTAGTAAAGTTCCTGAATTAAGCGGATCCGCATTGCTGATGACGTACCGGCCAGCCTGACTCGTTGCCTGAATTTGGGGGGGCAAACCGGGGAAGGTATTCTTCCCGCTTAGTTCGGATTAACCATGCAAACCAAGACATAGCTGGTATGCTGGTCACAGCTGGACAAGCAGCAGGAAGCTTGCCAGATAGTAATCTCAATGGAAAGCTAAGTAGTTTTAGATGGTTAACCCCAATGCATACTCTGGAATCCCCAAGTCTTTGCTTTCGCCAACCTGCATCTAATACTTTATGGAATTTAATTAAGCAGAGTCGCCCTTCGAGGAGGGAGGGAGAGAAAGCCCATACTACCAGAAACTGGGAAGTTTCTATATGTAAGTGACATACACATGTGGAACTCTCAGTCTGGTTTGATGAATTTCTGCATACATCAGACACGTGGCTGATTAAAAGAATAAAAATACAACACAGCAATTTAAACAACTAGTACCTTAGCACCTTCCCAGTAGTTTAAATATCTCAAAACATCTCTTCTACATGAGCTCCCACTTCATCCCAAAGCTTTACAGAGATTGAGTGTGAGTTCAAGCAGAAGAGGAAATTTTTGGGGTGGGGGGGAGACGGGGAGACGAGAGTTAGCCAAAAGTGCAAAGATGTTTTGAAAGCAGAGAGGGAGGGTGCAAAGCAGGAGGGAGTTTGAGATAGAGCGGGCAAGATTGCTTCATCTTAAGCTTTCTGGGAGAAAATATAAATAATTTGTGAAGCTATTATATACACTCACATAACATTCTTATATGGAAGATATATCATCTGACATTAACACACGTAAATACATTTTGAGACATCTCAATGACATGGTAAGGTTCTATATTAAATACAAGGAATTCCTTTACATTTTTTTTTAAAAAAAGCTTGCATTTAATCCAGTACCTATAATGTCTAAACATCTCAAATCTCTTCACAAAGGATTGCTATGAATTGCAGCAGCATCCCACAAACAGCCAAAAAGTGAATTACCAATTTTATCTGCCAGTAGGAGAAACACCCTTCTCTTTTTTAAAAAGTAGCTCCAATTCCCTTAAGTGATATTTTATCTTTTCAAGTAAAGAATATCAACATTGGAAAATTAAATGAGTTCCTCTTTTGAACACCTAGCGTGAAAGTTGCGTAAATTATGTGTAAACGCATGTGCCCTTTACACAACATAAAAATTCAAAGTAATAAGGAACATGAATTCCAATGACAACATTAAGAAGTCCTAGATCTAGGCAATTACAAAGCAAAAGGTTCCCTCTGGTCTACTCCTTAACAACAATCTTAGAGAGGATCATCTATTTTACCATAATAAATTATTCTATTTTCTGTATCTACCATCCAATTCTGAACTCAAACAACCTTCATAGTCAAAGCATTCACTTTACAAAAAGCAGTCATACACTTTACAGTAATTCTTGTGAAATACCTTGAGGTGTCCTCCCAATATAAAGGGTGTTACATCCAATGCAAGTATTATTACTACAGTGTAATTACTTTCTGTGTAAAAAAACAAATTTTGTATTTAGTCCTTTTTTTTACAATCATGAAATGGACTTCTGGTCTTGTTCATTTGTCAGATTTGAAAGTCTGGTTTACTTTTTCTATCCCATTAAGCATCTTATGCAGTTCTATAATGATCTGCTCAGATGTCTTTTCCAGGCAGAAGATTTTCGATTTATCTAGTGGCTTCTCTCACCCCACCTTACTACCAATGAAGATGAGCTTAATGGCTCTCCTCAGCACTGCCTCCAAGGCTGGGCAGCACACTTAAGGTGTGGCAACAAGAACTACCTGCATATGTGGAGTTTCAGGTGCAACCTAAATGTAGCACTCCCATCCCCAGCTCGGGTGGCAAGCCATTATTGTTACTTGAAAGGCCCTATTTAAATATAATTTTTGTATTGTATTCTTTGTATTGTATTATATAATAATTCTTGCATTTGTCATAGGGCCTAATCGCGTCTTCAAGATATTTCAAAGCATCTTCGAGATGTCTCAAAGCGTATTAAGAACTGGAGGGATGCCAGAACAGACTCAATATTTAACCCACTTCAGCCGAGCTCCCCTTACCAATATTCTCCACATCCCTCTTACTAGTCCATGGCTATGTGACGTTTGTAAATCATATATTTGTTTGTAAGGCCAACATATACAACAACATGCCCTTTACACATGGGAGAGCCAAGGAGTGCTTCACAGTGGTGGAGTTTGATCCCGAGGCAGGGAAGGGGCTGGAGGCGAGAGGGGCCCATAAACACAATCAAAAAGGAAGCTCTTTAGGTGGGATTTGAAGGTGGGGCAGGAGGGGGCAGGATAGAGGGATTGAGGGAGAGAACTCCATATTACAAATACTGAATAATGATTTTCCAATCCTGCAGAAAATTAATTTAAGCAAGCTGAATTTACGCTGGTTTGTATTTTTTTTTAAATTGGCGTTTAAGTATTTATGCAGTCTGTAAAACTATTCTGTGCATGGAAACTAGTTTAGAATCTTCACACTCAACCCTGAGTGAAATGCACACCAATATTTTTAAAGTGCCTTCAGCATTGTGAAATTTTGTATTTAAAATTGATTTACAATGTTTTTGAATCAGCAGGAAATAAATTCTTGTCTGCAATTAACTCACTAGAAGCATCAGAAGTAAATGAAAATTTCAGGTAGGATGTTTGTAACAAGGACAGTTAAAAACAGGAATGTGCCACAAACTGCAACACTCTGTAGTATATGCTTTTTAGTGCGATATTGTCAGCCTTCAGGATTAATAGCACACGATTCCCAAAATAACCCTAAATTTAACTTTCAAAGAAAACAAGTAAAATTATCCAGTTACAAGTGAATCTGACTTTCCATTAGAAGTTGAGGTCAACACCAGGAAGGTTTCATGCAAAAAGACCACGTGATTTTCAGTTATAGCTCTGGAACCCTCCAGTACTCGTACATATGCCTAATCAGTTTAAAAGCTCATTCTAAAAGCTTCCTGTATAAGACAAAGAACAAACATCCAGGAGGTAAAAGACAATATAACAAAGCACTGTTACAGCAGTCAACTCAGAAAACTTATTGTTACACCAGCAATCAACAGATTGAAGCATTATTTTCCATAGTGTTTCCATATTGTAAGGCACTGCCTGTCACTACAGAATAAAGCATTACACCAAACTGACTCAAAAATATAGGCAGAGTCACTAATTTCTAAGAATATTCAGAAATGCTAAATAATCAAATAAACTCTGAGTGCTGAGATAGATGTCCATTAAAATGGGAACTACTGTATTAAAAACAGGAATGTGCCCCAAACTGGGGCGTCAGGTTCGACCCCCAATTATCCTTCCTCCCCCACATCTGGTCCCTCACCAGCACCGCTTTCTTTCATCTCTGATGCATCGCCCGTCTCAGCCAATACCTCACTCCAAAAGCCGCTGAAACTCTGGTCCATGCCTTTGTCACCTCTCGGCTGGACTACTCAACGTCCTCCTCGCCGGTCTCCCCTTCACTACCATTCATAAAATCCAGGTCATCCAAAACTCTGCCGCCCGCATTCTTACCCGCACCAAACTCCGCTCCCAATTACCCCAGTCCTCGCCAGACTGCACTGGCTGCCTATCCCAGAGAGGATCGACTTCAAGACCTTCACCCTTGTCTTCAAATCCCTCCACTCCTCTGCACCCCCTACCTCTCTGACCTCCTCTCTCCTCACAACAGTGCCCGTTGTCTTCGCTGCACCGGGTCTGACCTCCTCCTTATTCCCCCGAATCCTCCGCTCCACCATCGGCGGCCGTGCCTTCAGCCACTACACTCCGAGGCTTTGGAACTCCCTTCCTCACTCCCTTCGCCTCA